GGGTGAGGGCTCCAGCTGGGGGTGTGGGCTCTGGGGTGGGGCTGGGGATGAGGGGTTTGGGGTGCAGGAGGGGACTGGGGGTTGGGGTGCAGGGGGGGTGAGGGCTCCAGCTGGGGGTGTGGGCTCTGGGGTGGGGCTGGGGATGAGGGGTTTGGGGTGCAGGAAGGGGCTTGGTGCTGGGGCAGGGGGTTGTGGGGGTGCAGGCTCTGGGAGGGAGTTTGGGTACAGAAGGGGACTCCAGGCTGGCGCAGAGGGTTGGGATGTGGGAGGGGGTGCAGGGTCCCGGTGGCCCCTAGGCACATGGGCGGCCAGGGAAGCTCCATGCACTGCCCTCGCACCAGCAGGTGCCGCTCCCGCTGCTCCCATTGGCCGTGGCTCCCAGCCAATGGGAGCTGCGGAGCTGGCACTGGGCCCCCAGCCCTGGGCCCCCGCTGCACCGCTGACCAGACTGACCTGACAGGAGCCACCAGGGTCCCTTTTCCACCAGGCATTCCGGTCGAAAACCAGATGCCTGGCAACTCTGACACCCCCGGGGCTGCAGCCAAAGCCTGAGCAATGTAGCTTTGTGGGGGTCCCTGTGGCATGGGGCCCCAGGCAACTGCCCCGCTTGCTACCCCCTAACGCCGGCCCTGGCTTTTCTATGCAGACAACCAGTACTTGTGGCACTGGTGGGCAATGGAGTTTTTATAGCGTGCTGGGGGGCTCCGAAAGAAAAAGGTTGAGAACTCCTGCTCCAGACCACGGCAGGGAGCTCTGTACCGCACCAGACCAGGCCGGCTACAGCAGATCCACCCTCCTTGTGACAGATTGAGCAGATGCCAATCTCAGAGACGACTTCTTCTCCATGCCCCTCCGCGCTGCCCTGGCCTTCCCGGTTGGCTTGCGTCTGCCCTGGTGCTGGCCGCCTTCCCAGCACTGATGTATTCAGTAGTCGCTCCGCCACCGTCTCCTCCCCGCTCCCTTCTGCGCTGGCTCTGAATCTGAACGCACCGCCTCCAGGTCGCAAGCGGTGCGGATACAACCCCAACAGTTCTCACATGAACCACAAGGAGGCACCAGGGGAATGTCCTTCAAGCCCCGTCTTGTAGCGAAATGCTAAACAATGAGTGAGGTGCTGACCGTGGGCTCCCTGTTTCAATCCCCATGCTGCCCCCCTGACTAACCCAGGGGACCTGGGAACTCAAACCTGAACTCTGCTCCACCAGATCATGTCTGAAGTTCGCCCACCAGGGGGCACTCCAGCTGCAGGCTGAAGGCAGGGGAGCTGCAGGATGATGTATTAATTTAGATGAACTAAACGGGCTAAAGCTGTCAATCTCACCCAGTCACTGTCCAACCTTACATGTTAAACAAGGTCCGGGGCTCGGTAGTCAGAGCCCTCCGCCTGCTCAGCCCCACGGCAGACACGGCATTAACAATCCTTCCAACCTTTGATTAAAGATACCGAAAAAGAGGGAAAAACAGTTCAAGCCTTTGGAAGGCAAAACGTTCAACTGAAGTAAGGCGTCCATTTCAGCCCCATAGGCAACCCCCCTGGTGTCTGACAGTCTCAGATGCTAGGTCCCCTGGGCAGACACATCTCAGCTGCTGCGGAGGCGGAACTGAAGACGCATGGAGCCCGGCCAGGTGCCTTTCCCTTCTCCCAGCCTCGCTGGTTTCTTCTTCCTCTCAGGAGGAAGCTTGTTCCTCGAAACGCTCTGCTCAGCTCTCTGCAGAGTTTTCGCGTCGGCAGCGGGCGGGCAGCCGTCCGAGCAGGCAGAGCTCTCAGCGCGCTGCACCCGGGCAGGAGGGGGGGTCAGAGGCCTTTCCCCACTGAACAGGCAGCTCGGAGGAGCCTGCTCCATGACTCAGCTAGGGAAGGAGGCCCACCCGCCTGGCCTGCAGTCCCCACGTCCAGCCCCAGCTCTGTGACCCAGGGAGGGATGTATCTGGTGGGGAAGTCACACACTTCTTAACCTGAGAGGACAGACCAATCCCTCCAGCCCAGCCCCTGGCTAGACCAAGGGAAATAAATAGCTTGTCTACCTCTCACTAGCCCCATTTTAGAGGTGGGGAAACCAAGGCATGGAGCAGTGCCATGACTTGCCCAAGGCGACACAGGAACTGAGCCCAGATGCCCTGGCTCTGAGGCCTCTGGCTTAACCACAAGACCATGCTTCCTTTGGGCAGGGCCGCCCAGAGGATTCAGGGGGTCTGGGGCAAAGCAATTTCGGGGGCCCCTTCCATAAAAAAAGTTGCAATACTATAGAATACTATATTCTCGTGGGGGCCCCTGCGGGGTCCGGGGCAAAGTGCCCCACTTGCCCCTCCCCCCGGGTGGCCCTGCCTCTGGGCCTGATCCTGAAAGGTGCTGAGCCACCTCAGCTCCCAAGGAAATCTGAGGGGACCGCAGCACCTTCCGGAAAAGGCTCTTCACCCCACAGGACTGGGCCACAAGAGAGGACACAGGCCCTGCTCCTGCTCCCGTCGAAGTCCATGGCAAAACTCCTGTCGGTTTCAAAAGAGCAGGATCAGGCCCATAATATGGTCACTACCCTGAGCGCTTCGTACTGTGTCACTGGGGAATGATGGGTTAATTCCCCCCACCCCCAGCCTGCAGCCTTGAGTGAGTTCTAGGAAGGCCCCAGGCCCTGTCCTTAGACAGCTGGGTACCTGCCTGCCTGCCCCCCCATGCGCCATGCGGTGGGGATTAGTCACCCGGCCTGCTGGTAAATGAGGGGATTTCTCAGAGCGCAGCAAAGACGAGAGCTCGAGGCTGCTGCTTCCTTCAGCTCTTCCTGTTGAAGTGACAAGCAGAGGGGCTGAGAGGCCAGCCCAGCCCTGCACACAGTATCTTCCCCCTCAGCCGGGGCTGGGGTGGGCCATGGGGGGGAAGTCAGCGAAACATGAGTCACACACCCGCAAGACTCTTTAAACCGCAGCTGCTGGATGGCGAGAGCTGCCTCCGGGGGAGAGATGCTGGTGGGGGTTATACAAAGGGGTGGCAGCCTGCATACAGCACGGGGAGCCTGTGAGCCAGGGAGACGCCTCCACTTCACAGGGGGACCCATGGAAAAAAAATTTCATCCAGGGCCGCCCGGGGGGCGGGGGGGCAAGTGGGGCAATTTGCCCCAAGCCCCGCAGGGGCCCCCATGAGAATATAGTATTTTATAGTATTGCAACTTTTTTTTCTGGAAGGGGCCCCCAAAATTGCTTTGCCCCAGGCCCCCTGAATCCTCTGGGCAGCACTGGTTTCATCCCCCATTAGGAACCTCCTGCTTCAGTTGGAGTCTGAGGCTGGGACTGGAATAGGTGTGAGTTCCCGCACAGCCACTGCTCCTGCCCCATTCCCTACAGCGCCCCCTGCTGGGCGAGGCTGGGACTGGACTAGGTGTGAGTCCCCCCACAGCCACTGTTCCTGCCCCATTCCCTACAGCGCCCCCTGCTGGGAGAGGCTGGGACTGGAGTAGCTGTGAGTCCCCCCACAGCCACTGCTCCTGCCCCATTCCCTACAGCGCCCCCTGCTGGGAGAGGCTGGGACTGGAGTAGCTGTGAGTTCCCCCACAGCCACTGCTCCTGCCCCATTCCCTACAGCGCCCCCTGCTGGGACTGAAGTAGCTGGGACACTCCCCCCACACAACCAGAGCTTTTGCCCTGCTCCCTAGAGAGCCCCCTGGAATAGGCAAGTATGTGGGAGCTAGTGTCATGGTGACACCTTTGTTGCAGCTCCTAGGGGTGAGCACGAGGCTTGTCGCTGGGGTTCACAGCCTGCTCCCTGCACAGCCCTGGAGCAGCCAGTCACGTGACAGATTCCTTGTCACCATCTCACGGGTGATGTGCTCGTACCAGCTGGGCAGGAAGAACTCCCTTCCCTGGGCCGCAATGGGGAACCGTGCTGTTTCCCAGGCTTGATGAGGAAACAGGAAGCCAGGTCATGAGCAGAGCACTTCCCCTTGGACTGGAGTGGCAACCTCCCTTGTCACCTACTGCACGCAAGACCCCTCACCTCCCCACTTGGTTTGCTCAGTGGTTCTGGAAACACTTCTGAGAGTTGCTCACAGGGCCTCCCATTTGAGACCCCCAAAACCCTTCACAAACAGATCCCCATTGATTAACCTCACCCCTCTGATGCAGGTGAGCATTGTAACTAATCCCTGGGCAACCAGGAAATTCACATCAGCTTTGAGGTCAGAACCGAGATCCCCCTCCTGTTCTAAAAGCACATGGCCCAGTCATTTGAGCTAAAGAAGAATCCCCAGAGTTGTCAGCAGTATAGGGTCTATGATACACAGTTGAGCAGGTTTGATCCCAGTCAGCAGAGGGCAGTGGTGCACAGGGACACTAACCAGTCTATTACATTATGCCCATATTACTGGTGGAAAAATCAAGGCACAGAGCGGTAAAGTGACTGGCCCAAGGTCACTCAACGGCATAACCAAGAAAGGAACCCAGGAGATCTGGGTCCCAACCCAGTTCCCTCTTCCAACCTCTCCATCATGGACTATTGCTATAGCAGATCAGAACATTGGTCCACCTTAACCAGTATCCTGTCCGTGGCAGCAGCCACTCTCTAGTTCTTTAGAGGAAGGGGGTGGAATACAAACCAGAATGCACCTGGTAACCACGACGCAACGCTGTATGCCAGCTAAAAGTAGATTCCTTCCTGACCCTTGCAGCAAACAGCTGGTCCTCTGAAGTATGTCTGATTGCTGTTGGCCTGCCATGCAACGTGGCATGCTGGAGGCGGTCATCCATGCAGGCCAAACGTCTGTATTGAAGTTGAAGAGCTGTATTATTGCCCGGTGGCCATGCCTTGACCACCCGTGGCTGTGAAGAATCTATTGGTCAGTGGTTGGGGATGTTGGAGGAGGGGACCGCTGGCCTGAAGAGAGCTCAGGCATCTCCGTGGAAATACCGCTCCCCAAAACCTGCTCCTTGGGTGGCTGAGGCCTCTACACAGACCCATGGAAACCAAAAGGCCCCAGAAAACAGGTTATTCCTCAGAGAAATTTGTAAAAGTACAAAGGCAGAAAGTTTTATTGACTAGAAACATTGGAATCACAACCCCCGGCCCTGGCCCCTTCCACGTTACCAGGCGTTTCCGATCAGCAGACGTTTCTGCTGTGGCACCTGAGATGGGGGTTGGTGGGGATCTGTCTGCCGGCTCCAGAGTGGTATGTGACTCGCCCTGGCTTGTAGGCTGTGAAGGGAGCTCAGTGGGTACCAGGGGGCAGGGAGTGGAGAGCCGGGCCTGCAGCTAGGAGGGATATAGAGGACAACGGGTGCCAGGAGGTGCAGAGGCAGGGGGCAGAACGCAAGGGGGATAGAGGAGTGAAGAGTAGTGGGTCTAACGTGAAGCACGCAGGCAGGCTGCTGGCCATGGAGGGTGCTGGGGAAAAGACGCGAAGGAGCTATGGGGTGAGGGGACAGATCGGTGAGTGGGGAGCAGGAAAGTAGTGGGGTGTCCCATGGGGCTGGGCAGATGTCCCAGGGCGCTGCACCAGACAGAAATCTAGCCGCTAATGGGTGCAGAATGTTGGGCGTGGGCTAAATGTCCCCCCGCCCCAGGTGCCACCTTCCTGCCCCCAGGATCAGGCCCCCGCTGGCCCCACTTTCTCACCCCCTCCATTTCAGCACTCTACACCAGCAAACGGCCCAAGAAATACACAAAGGCTCCGGCCAGGGCTGCAGCCAGCCGAGAAATAAATAAAAAAACAAGGGCACAGTCAAATGTGAGGGTGGCGGCCCCATCGGGGATACCTGAGGGGGTCACAGACCAGGGAGGGCGTCACAGCCCGAGATCGGGGAGGGGAGGGGGGCACATGAGAAGTTAAAGCTCTTTCCATAGACCAGGCAGGGTCCCTGGCTTGTACTGAGTGCAGCTCCCTGCCCCCACAAGAGGGGTACTGGAGAGATTAAAGCTTTCTATAGACAGGGGCAAAGTCTTGCTCTTATACACCCCCCACCCCACAGGCAGGGCGGGGGACCTGAGAGGTTGAAGCTCATTCCATAGATCAGAGAGAGGAGCCCCTTGGTTTTGTACCTTCCTGTCGCTTGGATTGCGCCCTCAGGGGCTGTGGGCACGACCAGACATGTGGCACTTTGAGGATTCATCACAGATTCCCAGGCTGTGACCCCGGAGAGGAGACTGCAGGAGCCCCCTTCGGGCACTGAGGTGCTTTGGAGTTGGGATGGGCTTGGCGGATCCCAGTTTTTGGTATCTCTATACAAGGCCTGGGGCCCGGAAGCCGCTGTGGTGCTGAAGGAAATCAGGTCCCACTGGGACGGCAGAGCTGACCGGAGCTGGTTCCTGGCCAACCCGGGGTTCCTGCCACCCTAACCTCCTGGTGAGCATGGTGGCATCACGTTTAAAGGGGAGGTTTGGGCCATTCACAGAGATAACCCAGACCGGGCAGCTCCCGGAGTTCTGGGACAGTGAGTCTTGACCTGCACTGGAGAGAGATCCCAGGAAGCCAGGGAAGGGCTGGGCTGGGCTGTACAGGGCACCCTACAGGCCCCTAGGCTGAGGGCACTGCTACGGGGCCGAAGCTCATTTAAAGCCCAGGTGTCAGCCCCCCGGGCAGTGCTGAGACTGGGGAGGCCAGTGCAAGAAACAAAGCCCCCTCCCAGCACTGCCTGCAGAGTAAGAGGCGATACCCACAGCTCCCTGGCACCCGCTTCACCCTGCGGATACGTCCATGGCCGCTATCAAAATCCCAGGCTGCTGTACCCCATTCCAGGCCCTGGCACCCAGGGCTGGTCCGTGGGACTCGGAGGGGAAGATACAGAGCCCATAGGAGGCTGTAAGGGCTTAGTCTGTTGCCTAGCCCTGGCCCAGAGGAAGCCAAGGGACCACAGCTAGCCAAAGCCAACCAGTGGGCGTGGGGTCCAGTCCAGTCCCAGCAGAGCGAGCGGCTCAGGCCAGCTTCAATGGGAAGTCTTCCTGCTTGACAGAGACACTGTAGTGGGGCAGGGGCAGGAGCGGAAGCTGTTTGTGGAGGCCAGGCAAGCAGGGGCCCTTGTCCCTGGGGAGCTGCCCACGGCTGCCTGACCCCAGCTCCCTCAGGATGAGATTCTCCAGGAGCCCGGGAGCCCGGGCGGGGTCGGCCCCTTCCCCCTCCAGGCGCTCGGCGTCCAGACTGAAGTCGAAGTGGTCGATCAGGGCGTTGAAGTGGCCGAGCTGGGCGGGGGGGCCGGCGGCGCCAGGGGCCAGCGGGCAGTAGCCGCGGCGGTGCAGCGCCAGGCTGAAGGGGTGGATGTAGGTCTTGGGGCAGCTGGGGCAGCGGTGTGGGCGCTTGCACTCGTGCAGCCGCTTGTGCAGCTTGAGGTGGACGTACTGGGTGAAGCGGCAGCGGCAGAGGCGGCACTGGTACGGCCGCTCGCCCGAGTGCAGCCGCAGGTGGGTCTTGAGGTTGCTGGTGCTGCTGAAGCGCTTGTGGCAGACCTGCGGAGGGACGGACGGACTCGTGTCAGACCCACAGCTGGCCGCCTGCCAGCCACCACAGCCCCCGGGCTCAGCCCCCGGCCTGTCCCCCAGGCACGGGCCTGCTGCGAGGATCAGCTTTGCTGGGGGTGACTCCAGCCCAGGCAATGGAGCTGGCCTCACTCAGCCCAGGGCAGAACTTGGGTCCTGTGCCTTGGGCTCCGTGTCCAGCTGAGCCCTCGTCCCCCCGACAACCATTATCCACCCTCCCCCTGCCCAGGCCCCGCTGGGTCTCTGCCCACCACGCTGATGCCATTGCCCCTCCTTCGATACCACTCCATCAGGCTGCCCCAAGGGACAGTGCCCCGCGCTCTCAGACCTCGGAGTCAACCGCCCCCACGCCGTCACGGGCTCCGATGGGCCCGGGGGCCCCTTTCCCAGCGCCGGGGCCTTTAGCAGGAGGAAGGAGGGCGCGTCACCTACCAGGCATTCATGAGGCTTCTCGCCCGTATGCACCAGGTGGTGCTTCTGCAGGTGAGCTAGCTGCGTGAAGCACTTCTTGCAGATATGGCACTGGAAGGGTCTCTCGCCGCTGTGCACCCTCAGATGGACCTGCAGGGGGCGCAGGGGGCGGGGCAGGTGTGGGGAGGGAGGGAAAGAAAGAAAGAAAGGTGGGAAAGTGCAGGAGTAAGCGCATGGGAGGAGCCCAGGGGGTTGAGAAAAGCGAGGGATTGAAGGAGAGACGCGAGAGACATTTCCATTAGGCGATGGAGCCTCTTGCTCGAGAGGCAACTGTCCCTCTGAGTTGGGCTCTCCTCATCTGGGGGATGGATGAGCAGGGATAACGGGGGCGCCTGCCTGTCCCTTGCTGACCAGGAAGGGGGGGCCCTTTCCTGGGCTGGCTCTTCCCTCCTGCCTGGAACTTTTGGGGCAAGACGGGGAACATCCTGGCTTCCCCCATCCGGGTTGTGCTGTGCTAATGAGAGAGAGAGCCTGGGGAAATTCTCCTGCAATGTGATCCAGGTGCCAGATCCCGGACAGGGGACCTGCCCCGAGCTGCTGAGATAACACAGAGGAAGGGCAAAGACATCTGAGGGGACTCTAGTGACGTCCTCCCAGACCCCACCCCTATTCATCAGGGGCACCCCGATCAGCTTGAGACTGAAGCCCACCCACGAAGCACGATCCCGGGTAGCCCAGTGTCCAGCTATTAACAATGGAACATCTTCAGCCGTAATGATTTGTGACTGGGAGATCTAGGAGGCGGGTGAGACGTGACTCTAAAGCAGTGGGTTTCAAACTCTCTGAGTGCCACCCCCCTTATAAATTAAAAACACTTTTTAATATATTAAACACCATTATAAATGCTGGAGGCAAAGCGGGGTTTAGGGTGGAGGCTGACAGCTCGCGACCCCCCATGTAATAACCTTGTGACTCCCTGAGGGGTCCCAACCCCCAATTTGAGACCCCCTGCTCTAAAGGCTGCTGAGAGGGTTGGAGATTGACTGATTAAGGAAGAGGCCCAGGGGGGTATTTACCAAATGAGGAGGTACTTTTCCTCCATAGTGCGCAAAGCAGAGGTGAGTCAGTATCATTATACCCATTTGACAGATGGGGAAACTGAGGCACGGAGCAGGGACGTGACCGGACCAAGGTCGCGCAGCAGGTAGAGTCAGCAATACAACCCGGGTCTCCAGACTCTCAGCCTAGTGCCCTAGCCACTAGACCATGCTGCCTTTGAAGAGGCTAGCAGGAGCATACTGATGTGGGTCGGGAGGGGCGAGGCTGCGGACAGAGGAGGGTGGGAGAGTGTCCCGAGGTGGCCCTTTGGTACCTTGAGGTTGGAGAGCTGCCCGAAGCTCTTGGCGCAGATGTTGCACTCGTATTTGATCTTGCCGTTCTGCTTCTTCAGAGGGTAGGGCACGGGTGTGGTGCCCAAGCGGCCGGCCGGCGGGCAGCACTTTGGTGTGCTGAGATTGATGGCCTCCGGTGGCTGGGCAAGCAGGGAGGTAGGTTTCTGTTGCTGAACTTCAGAGGTATATGAGGTGCCCCCGGCAGGGGACGAATACTGCTTTGGTCCATAGTCCAAACCCGGAGAGGAGAAAGCGCCACTTTGGAGGGAGATTAAAACATCCTGTGGCTTCCGGAGCTCGTGGGCTCCCTGTTTTCCATGAGGCAAGACAGTTGCGTAGAGGCCTGGGGATGGAGATGTCCCGTCTCCCCGGGCACGGGCGTATACCTGCGGCTCCGGCGAAGGCAACCCCAAGGGAGGGACTTCCCCCACCCTGCTCATGGGCGGCGCTGGCAGGAAGGGCACGGCGTGGGGGGGCAGCGCAAACCGGGGGTAGTGGGCAGGGATGGGGCCGCAGGCATAAAGATATGGCTGGGGCAGGTGGCCCGTTGGCAAATACAGAGGGGAGGAAGGGTAGAGGTTGCTGAGACAGCGCTGCAGCTCCTTGCACAGAGAGGTAGTTGGGCCGTACGGGCAGCAGTTGAGGACTGGCTGGTTCCTGGGGCTCGCGGCTCTTTGGCATGGAGGGCTGGACTTCTCAGGCGCCCCTTCCTTGCCAGGGGCATTGGGGAAAGGGCTAAACCCCAGGGGCCACTGCTTGACGTCCTGGGGGAGCTGCCCACGCAACGCCACACGTCGGCATCCTGATGGGCTCGGTGGCAGGCTCCTGTCCAGCGCTTCCAGGTCAACGCTCTCATCTTCATCGCCCTCTTCCTCCTCCTTTTTCTTTGTGAGCTTAGCTGTGAGGTTTGGGTTGGCGGCCGAGCCCCCCTGTGGTGGCTGAGGCCCCGGTGTGGCGGGGGCTTCTGCGGTGGATTTCCGGATACCATCGTGCTCTGGAGAGAAAGAAGCAAGCACACATGTTACCACACATGTCTGGGTACTGGCTTTGCCAGGAAGTGTCATGGGCAGGGGAATCCCACCCCCACCCCCACCCCCTCCATCCAGGCACTGTGAGTGACTATTGATTTACCTGGCTGTTTATTCATATCCTATCCAAGGCTCCCATCCCAGGTTCCAAGCGCCTGAGACACTTTAAATGCAGACAAGTCCCCAGGGCCCTGCAGCTGGGCCTGCCGTATAGACAGAACCCAGCTTCTGTCCTGAGGCGGTTGGGTCCATCTGGTGGAAATCCCATCATCGCCAATGGTGATCTTCCAAGACCACAGGTTGTGGGTGAGATTTCCACCCTTGTGAGACCAGCTGCACCCCCCACATCTTTCACCAGCGCTAAATTCACTTTTCGGGATAGCTCCTCAGTTGGCCTGGAGCGAGGCCGATGACTAGAGATGGACAGAGATTACTAGAGTACTAGAGATAGACAGGTCAGTTTGGGTGAAATAAGGATGGAACTGGCCCAGACTCAGGCTGAACCCTGATTGGAAGATCAACATTGGTTCAGCGAAGGTTGTCCGTTTCCTTGGAAGCAGCCGTGGGGAGAGGAAAGCCGAGCTGGGAGCCTGCGCCCTTCAACCTTGCCTGCTCCCCTGTCACTCCATCACCTGCCCCTACTCCTCCCCCCCCTTGCAAGAAACTCACCTGTACTTGATGTCTCTCCCCTATTTCACCTGGAGCTCACCTCCACACCCACCCACAATCAAGGTTCAGGGCTGGGCTGGGGATGGGCCAGCCAGACTGTGATCAGCTGAGCCCCAGAGCAGAGTATCCACTATCCATGGGCCTGGCTTAACTGGCAGGAGTTCTGTGCAAACCCAGACACGTGCAGGATGCCAGACACACATGCACAACCCCACACGCCACCCCCTCCTTCGGGGCACAGCCCCCTGGCATGACTCCCCCTGCCCCCCATTACAGCCAGACTCTCTCTGGGGCCGCAGTACATCTCAGATACGGAGGCACACCAGCCACCCCAAGACCCCGCCCCCAGACACTCCTCACCGAGCTCCTCGGCCAGCTCCCTCGGCAGCGGGCACTGCAAGCGCTCAGCAAACTCGTAATTGTACCACACCAGGAGCTCGGCACCCGTCACGATGGGCTTCAGGGTGTAGAAGTAAATCTCCAGGCCGTTCTGGCAGGCCACCAGGTTCTGGGCCGGGGCGTCAGGGGTGGGGTTGACGTAGCGCATCCAGTTACTGCGGCGGGGGTCCCGGGCGTTGATGAAATGGTGAAGCTCGCCCCCCGGGGAGTAAATCTGTAGGAGGCAGAAGGGAAGAGACAATCCGGTTAGCCACAGAGCTGGGGGCGCTTAGCGATGCCGGTGCATCTGTCAGGAGGTTTATGCTGCCTCTGGGGCCCCCTGGGTCGTGCCCACTAGGTTTGTCACTGATGGTGATGGGCACATGGTCACCCAGTTTTGTTATCCCCTTTTAACAGATGCGGGATGCTGAGGTAGAGAGGAGGGAAGTGACTTGCTCCGTGTCAGGTCCACGTGGAACAGAACCCAGGAGTCCTGGCTCCTAGCTGCAAGTTCAGTCCACTGGAGCGAGCTCTCTCCCAGAGGCAGGAATAGAACCCAGGAGTCCTGACTGTCCCCAGCCAGGAGTTCCATCCACCGGAGCACAGGCGCTCCTTTTGCCAACCGCTCGCTGCCGGGGGTCAGCCCCAGAGGACCCTCCGCAAAAACGGATCCCACTCCAAAAGGTTGTAAGAACCGATGTTCTGAGCACCTTGGCTGTGGAGCGTCTGCGCCGTGACCAGCTGCTGAGAGTGATGAGGTCCCAAGTACATGCGACACCTACAGCCCGTCTGTGATCTCTCGCTCTCCCTGTGGGGCTCTCATGAGTCACTCCCAGAGAACTGGGCGCAGGAGGAGTTTTATCCCAGCCCCTGCTGACATCACCCCACGTGGGGAGAGGTTTGGTTTCAAACTCAGCCGCCTCGACCTTCGCCTCTGTGGCTTTTCTGGGCACCAGACTCAGTTCTGCCTCCCGGCAGGAGGGACTGGGCAGGCCCCCAGAAAGGGCTGGTCTGTTCCCCTTGTCGCTCCGGGAGGCAAACAGCTGAGAGCCGCCTGGTGCTTTGAAGGGCAGGAAGAGATGACAAAGGCCAGAGGGCTAAGTACTGGCTGGCTCGCAGCCATGGGATTATTTCCTTTTAAGAAACAAGAAAAACGAACCAAGGCAAAAAAAAAAAACACTCCCCAGCAAGCACTGGGGCATGCTGACGCCCACCCGAAATTCCCAGCACAGAGGGGAATGCAGAAAGGGGCTTTTGCTTGCAGTTTGACCAGCAAAAGTTCCCCTCTTCTGGGCATGGGGAGGAGTTACTCTGTGTAAATAAGCTAGGGCAGGGTTGTCTAATGGTGAGAGCACAGGACAGGGAGCGGGGGGGAGAGGGGGGCTCCTTTCCTGAGTTCTGTTGCTGTGCCTCCCAGAGTGGCATCACTTTCCTGCCCCGTGCCTCAGTTTCCCCATCTGTAAAGGAGGGGTAGCCATACTGATCCACCTTGCACAGGGGATTGAGAGACTTAATTCCCTGAGGTATGTAAAGTGCTTTGAAGGAAGATGCAATAAAAGAGAAATGATCACTCAGAGTACGTCGGTATTGCGGGCACAGGGCGTGACCACATCTTGGGCAGACGTTCCCGAGCTAGCTTTAACCTCAGGCCCTGGAGCAGTGAAGCCGTGGCAGCATGCACTTCAGCACAGGCTGGCCCTGCAAGCAATGACCCGGGGTTTGTACCGCCGCTGAAGCACATCCAGCCGCGGCTTCGTGGCTCCGGAACCAGAGGTAGCTAGATTCAAGCTAGCTCGGGTGTGGTGGCTGGAGCTGCAGACACATCCTTAACCAGCAGCCCCAGGATGGACTCCAGACCCTGGCCAGGTGAGGGGCTCTGGTCAGGACACATGATGGCACCCAGACATGACGCATTCTCCCATTAGGACTCTGTCCTCAGCCACACTGTCTGCCCAACAGCATGCTGGGGCATCGATACAACACCCGCTCGAGGAGACACTGCTTCCGGCAATGCTGCAGAGCGTTCCCTGGCCTCTTCCCTGGCAGCCATGAGATCCCAGCCACCCAAGCCCTATATGGCTACATGAGTGGAAGACAGTGCCCCCAAAGGTCCAGCTATGGCGCTGGGGGACCAGACTGGGGATGGAGGCAAAGTGCTCTGGAGATAGCAAAACCTTCCCGCAAGGAAGTTCCCTGATTCGAGTGTCTTCCAAAGACTGCACCAGAGGCAGGCCCACGCTGTGCCCGGCTCTGGAAAGATGCCAGTGACTCTCTCTCCCAGGCACTGGCCCCCATGCTGAGCCAGCCTGCCCCCAGAGAACCTGGCAGGTGACTGGCGGAGGCATGGAGTCCCGGGTCAATAGGGCAGGTTGGGGCCAGTGGAGCTGAGCAGGGCTCGGAAGGAGCAGAGGGCCTGGCAGAAGCCGGCTGTCTCATAGTGCTGGTGACCCAAGCCTTCTAGGGAAGGTGCTGCTTGTCTCCGCCCCGGGCACCCTTGGTAGCTGACTGTTAGAGGAGCCTTCCACCCCCGCAGGAAGCCGCCCGCTCTGGCTGGCTGCCAGGAGCAGAGACATGTCTGGGAGGAAGGCTGCGCAGATAGCCCTGAGCAGTGGATGAAAGCTCTCGGAGGGGCCGGCCTTGGGGCTGGGAAGAACACACCGACTCCGTCACCCTCCTAGGAGGGAGCTGTTACTCACTCGCCAGAAGTGCTTCCTGTCGGCGTTTTTTGGCACGTTCTCTTTGGTGTAGACCTCCCCGACCAGCGGCCCGAAGCGCGTGCCCGATGGGATGTACTCTCGGCTCAGCACTGCCACCACCTGCAGGGGCACCAGCATGCAGTCAGCACTGGCCAGCCCTCCTCCCACGCCTGGGAACGGGCTCCAGGGAACATCCCAGCAGCCTCCTTGGATCGTGAATCTTTACAGCACTCCTGACACACACATATACCCCCAAACTACCCACCCACACACAGCCATCCCCCTTACCCCGTGCCATACACTCCGTGCACCCTCCCACAACTGCATCACAGCTACGGCCCAAGGCCACCTGCCACCTCCCCGCTCCCGTGGGGCAGGTCTCGCCGGCACCTCCAGTGCAACCCAGCTGGGGAGACCAGATTTTGGTGGCGATGCAAACAGGTGATGGACAGCACGGCCCTGGGATCGGTCTGGTGTTAATTAGCCCAGGCCCCTGACACGCTAATCCCTAAACGGGATTAGGCAGACGCTTCACTGGGGGGGATCAGCACAGATGAGCTGCGTTAGACTGTGAATGAAAGTTCTTCCGATTCCCGTCAGAGTGTCAGAAACTGGCTCCCGCTGCCCCTTCCTGGGGCCGGAGCCTCCCAAAGAACCCCGGAGTTCCCCCCAAAACACTCCAGCCTTGCTACACCCAGAGACACCTTCAGTCCTGCCACGAGGGGAGACGGCTGCACACGGGGCAGCGTGTCTCTTCCGGCAGGCCCAGAGACGGGCCTGGGCTGGACCAAGCCGGGTCTGGCCTCCCCTTGGCCCCAAGGCTGGTGACATGCAGGGCTGGATGCAAACGCTGCCTGTGCGAGGGGGCGAGGAGGAATTCCAGCTGCCAGCAGGCCCACGCTGCGATGGGATCTGGCCGCTCGCACCTGTGGCTGGCTCATCGCACGAACGCACCCTTCTCTGCCTCCTCCCGCTGGGCGAGGGCAGGCGCTCGTGGCCTCAGCATCGGCTGCCGGCAAACGCAGCGTCCGTGCAAGCGGGCGTGGGGAAAGCTGCCCCTCCAGCCTAGCAAACGGGCAGCACGGGAGTCGGAACCCCCTCCCGTTGCCGCACCCTCCCTCTGGCTCATTCCTGACCGGCACCCCGCTCCTCAGCCCTATTCCCTTCGCCCTTGGGTGCACAGAGCGGGGGGATTTCCTCCATGCTCGAGGGAGATTGTACAGGAGGGAAGTTTGTCTTCTGCTCTGCATCCCTATCCCCCATCTCTCCCCTTCCTCCTCCTTCTCCTGATCCAGCAATGCTCTACCCCCCCCACACCCCCCAGCACATGAGAGCTGGGAAGAGGAGCAGGCATATGTGTTAATCAGAGTGCTCCCCTGGTGGGTTCCCAGCTGCAGGTCCATGGAGCAGGTGCGGGGCTGGGGGCAGGGGAGGAGTGGGGGCAGGCTCAGGGGTGGGGGACCAGCAGGGGTCTGGCTAATATCTCTCCCCCGCTTGTCACCATGGCTCATTGCCCCTTCTTTCCCTCCCCACCCCTCAGCTCCCTCCTCCTCCCCCACCAGCCACGTGCTCTCTGCACAATGGGACCCAAGCTTGGTCAGTCACCTCCTTTTAGCCTGGGAACCAGCAGCGCCCACAGCCCATGTGGGCTCTGCTCATCTGCACAGGGTGAGCACGGCTGCCAAGAGGGAGGGGCACCTGCCCAGGCAGGGGGAGGGTCCCAGAAGAAGCTGATGGGGGACCTGCCCCAGTTCACTCCATGGTAATTTTTCCCTTGACTTGGTTGGGCCCAAGCTGCGTGAGGCTCCCATAGGCTTGGCTTGGCATGCCCAGGGCTATCACCAGGTCGCAGAGGAACTCCGGCCCATGGGAGTCTCCCACCGGAACCTATCCCAGCCGGGCATATCAATGCACCTCCTGCCCCAACTGCATCAGCAAGTCTGGTGTAATACACTGGGGCCTTTCTACCGCGGGAAATGCAGGAAAACCCCAGCCTTTCCTTGCTCGGATCCCAGGGCAGGCCTGGTTAGCTCACCCCTCCCACCCGGGACAGCCTGCCACAGCAGGAAAACCCCAGTCTTTCCTTGCTCGGATCCCAGGGCAGGCCTGGTTAGCTCACCCCTCCCACCCGGGACAGCCTGCCACAGCAGGAAAACCCCAGTCTTTCCTTGCTCGGATCCCAGTGCAGGCCTGGTTAGCTCACCCCTTCCACCCGGGACAGCCTGCCACAGCAGGAAAACCCCAGCCTGACCCAGCTGCTGGGAATGTCCCTGATTCCTCACTTTCACTTCCTCTGCTCTCTGCCTTTCCCAGCTCCTTGGAACCCTTCACTGCCCCCTCGACTCACACTGTTCCTCCTCTGCATTTCCTTCCTTCCCGGCAGCAGCCCCCCGCCCCTCCACACACACCCACCCCCACGAGAGCAGCCACCCACTGCCCATGTTCCCACCAGCACACGTGTCAGGAGATGCCCCTCCCCACCCCAACCCCCTACTCTGCCTGTCCCTAGCTCCAGGCATGGCCTATGCCCTGGGCTGGCGCTAGGCACCTGGAAATCTGCCCCCTCCGACTCCCTGGGAATGGCAGCAGGGTCTAGTGCTCACACCCCGGTGGCGGGGGATGCACTCAGCTCCCCGCCCTCCCCCCCCCCCCGGTTGATAGCTGCTAGGGCCCCCACAGGCCCCTGGGCCTTTGTGGGGACAGAGAAAGACAAGGTGGCAAGTTCTCAGGGCACTTCCTGGGTGCAGGCAGAGGATTAACACTGAGGGCCCGGGAGAGTCAGAGTCAGGGAGCCTGTGAGACATAACCAGGCTGCCCACCATCATGGCATGCCACCCCACCACCACATGGGCACACTGCCAGCGGCGACAGGGCCTAGGGGTCTGAGCACCGGCCGAGGCCAGGCAGGGCTCACTGTCGGAAGGGAATGACCCCCCCCCGCGCACACACCACCAGCTGGGCACCTGCCCCTAGAAGGCCAGGCTGCACGGAGGAGAGGGCTGGGAGGGAGGGGAAGGTTAATGCCTTGGTGGCTGCGTCTCGCTCTCCTGCTTTGATGGGAGGAAGCTGAGCCCAGAGGCTGTCACTTGGTGAATACCACAGGCAGATACAGCCCTCGCGGGGCCTGCCTGGGAGCTTCCTCCCTCGCATCACACCCAGGAGGCTCAGGCGCCTTCGGCTCTCACCGCACCCGCCCAGCCCCTGCTGCTTTCATCTCTCCCCGCAGGAAGCAGAGAGACGGGAGCCGGCCGGTCTGTGTGCAGGCCTGCTGGTGTGCCCCCGCTGATGGTGTGCGATAGGCACGCGTGGCAGCTTGCAAGGGATGAGCATGTTCGAGCCTGCCGAGGACTGTGGTCTGTCGGTGTTACGTGTGCACACAGGTATGTGCGTGCGTGTGAGCAGGAGCACGGGGGTGGATGCAGGTGAGCATGCACACGCTTGTGTCTGCACGTTAGCATGTGCAGGGGTGTGCGCGTGTTAGTATGTTCACATGCATGCGTATGAGCACGAGCAGGTGTGTATGCACAGTCGCATGTTCACTAGCAGGTTCACAATGTGTGTGTACGTATGTGAGAATGTGCACAAGTGTCTTGCAAGTGTGCAGTTTATCTGCCTAGAGGAATGGTGAGGGGGCACAAAGGATACCTCGGAGCCCCTCTTCTTGTCCCATTGCCTCTTGCCTGGGCCGGGGCTCCCAGGAACAGCCAAACCCTTGGTGCCTGCGACTCACCTTGTGGCTGCTGTTGCACCGGAAGGCCAAGTTTCGGGGTAAGGAGGCTTGTGCGCGAGGGACGTCGGGGCGCGTGAGCATTTCGCACGGCTGGTCCTTCACGATGTAGGTGCATCGTTCCTGGAAATCCGCCTCCCGCCATTGCAGCATGGCACGGAGCTCCCCTCGCATCGCCGCTCGCTCACTTCCCTCTCAGTCTGGCCACAGCATGGGGGAGCCTGGCACAAGGAGGACAAGAGCAAACTGCTCACTCACAGTACCAGGGGCTGGGGCCACGCAGTCACTGGCCGGGGGTGGGGGCGGGTTACTGTCCCTGGGGGCTCGGATCAGACTCATCAGAACGCTAGACAGGGGGCTCACATGTCACACCCTACAGGACCCGAATGCAAAGAGCCGGAATCTCCAGGTGTAAATCAGGAATAACTTTACTGACAGCAAAGGAGTTACACTGGTATAAATCTAGTGGAGGTCAGATCAGAATCAAGTTCTCCAGCCGAATTACACACTTGGTGTTTCTCTCTCTTGCCCCTGCCCTGCCCTGCAATTAACCAGCCTCACCTGCGAGTGACTCAGTCATCTCCAAGGAACCAAGCTCAGCGATCCCCAGGGACCACACTGGGGTCGGCGATGGAGAATCTGAGCTATGCAGCATCCTCACCCACTAGGGTGACCAGATGTCCTGATTTTATAGGGACAGTCCCGATATTTGGGACTTTTTCTTATATAGGCTCCTATTACCCCCCATCCAAGTCCTGATTTTTCACATTTGCTGTCTGGTCATCCTATCACCCACTGCTAAATTAACCGGGGTGGGTCCCTGCGGCTCAGATCAAGCGTGGTCGCTTAATAGCAGATGCACCCGAAGGGAACCAGCTCTGTGATCTGTGGTAACATGGGATGGATTTTTTCCACCTCTAACATCCCTGCCCCTAAGGCGCTCTACACCCCTGTGAGTTTGCTTCTTTTTAGATCTTCCCCTTCACTCCTAGGGCCAATGGTCACTGGGATCTCTGGCCAGGGGCTCGTTAGCGCCAGCTAGGGGTGGTCTGCGGTAGTGGCTGGAACTTAAGGGCAGTTTGTGCTGTGCAGCAGGAAGAAAACACAAAAGGCCTGATCCCACTCTGAGCTGGCAGCCTTTTTCCGGCCCCTCTGCGCTCATTTTGCCCCTGGGGAATGACTGCATAGGCCACACGGCAATGGAGAATCTGCAACCTGCAGTGTCAGAACTTGGGCACAGTCCGTCATCCATCCCTCTCTCTAGCCCGTGTCCATCCCTGTAGCCAAATTCACTTGGACTGATGATTTTGTCCCCTGCACTCTTACAAGTATTGGCTTAGAAAGGCTGCAAAGGACACTTGAAAGTACCCCAATGCCAGCGGGTTGCTGACCCCCCATGACATCTCACAGTTGACGGCCTGCATGGCTAACGCACACCATGACATGCAGACGCTGGGCAGGAGCATTAGCCCCCGGGACTAGGGGGTCTGAAAACAGGCGCCGTAGCTGCAATGGATGGAAAGTGCTTGTGGGAACAGAATGTAGGCAGGGAGCACCAATGACAATTGAACCGCCGACGGGCGCAGAACCCGTCCCAGGGCCAGCATGACACAGCTGCCATCTCTGCCTTTCCAGCTGTCCAGCTTACACCAAGCGCGTGGATCATTGTCAGCTCTGCACTGGGCAAATAAGAATTTTTTTTTTTTAAGGGAGCGGGGCCAGGGGAGTGGAGTCTCCGCCAGAACAGAAGGGAGGGGGAGTATTTGCTCCTAAAAACGAACTCCTCAGATCCATCCGTCCAGCCAGGGCAGGACTGGTCCATACAGTGAACATTTTCTTCTGCTGTATCCAGTCGGATTATAATTGTCAGCAGCTCTGGGGCTTCCCCCTGCCCTTGGGTGGCTATTCCACACTCTATCGGGAAGTCCTGTCTGACAGTCCACCTCAGTTCTCCTAGTTACACCCCCTTGTTCTCCGGTCTCAGATCCGAGACGGTGATTGTCTCTCATGCTCATGCACACGGAAGGGCCAGATTTAGGCATCAAAATAAGGCCCATTGACGCTGGGCTCTTCTGAAAATCCGGCCCAGGCATCAGTGTTGAGAACTGAGAGCTAGCTCTGAGCTTTCCAGGAAATCTGTCCTCTTGCCAGGCCTTTGAAATAACCACGGCGGGAATAGAACTGATTTTGTTATTTTGGAGTGAGTTTGGGAGCGGACGCTCTTATTGCAGGTAAAAGCATCTCACGTCAATTCAGGCAATGCCAAGTGACCAACTTGAGCCCCTTCTAGGCCAAAATCAGTGGGTCCAGACTTGCTATACCAAGCTAAGTGGAGTACTCAGGAAAAGGGGCAGATGGGGAAAATTCCTAAGGAAAGTTGCTCCGGAATAGCCAGATCAGGATCGTATCTAACAGATCCTGGGGCTGCCAAAGTCAATTGATTGTAACAGGGAGCAGAACTGAGCCTTTAGCTCCTTTAATCTTTCCAGATAAATTAACCCCTCCGCCCCCTTTGTCATTTTTGTGTCTCTTCTCTGAAGCCGATTCATTTTACCTGCCTCTTCCCAGTTCCGACGTGCCCAGAGCTGGAGGTGGAATCCCAGCTGTGCTCTCTTACAATGATCCCAAATCTTTGTCCCCTGCAGGCTCCCCGGACATTGGGGAGTGTGGATGGGGCTAGCTGGGTCTCCTTTCACGTGGCCATCCTTGATGCACATACCGCTTTGCTAGCCTGACACTGACTTCCCCGCCAGTGCCTGCGTCTCCCTGGGAACCCTCCATGCTGGCTGGCACGTGACGGAGTCCCGTCGAAGGAAGGAGGTGCAGTAGCCGGTTGGCAGGCCTCAACAACTGCATCTCATAGAGGAGGGCAGGGCGGGGGGTGGAACGGGCACTAGAGGGCTGCAGCCAAAGACAGATGGGCAGCAAGAGCTCCCGGGAAATGCCGCCGGAAAGTCAGGTTTAATTCATTTCTAGGACAGCCTCGAGGCACAGTCACAATCAAATCGACAACAGGATTCGTCTCTCAAACTGATGTGGACTCACAGCCCAGAGTGCCCCCGTCCCTCCCCCAGCAAACAGCCCCTTCCCAAGCAGCCTCCCTAGGAGCACGCCCTACAGCAGCAGAGTGCCTCTGTCAGACCGAGAGGCCGGCCCAGCCAAGGGCGCTCCTCCCAGCATCTCCCGGCCCTTCATGCCAAGGACTGTCCGATCCAGCAGATCCCAGCAGGAAGGCAGAGATGGGAACCCAGGAGCTGCTCACTTGGCTGGGATGCCTGACTGCAGAGCTGGCTCCAAGTCTCGCTGGAAAGTGGCACTTACCTGGGATCACCTCCTCCTCCACCCAGCACAGCTGCGGGCAGCCCTCGCCGGCCCTGCCATGCCCCCCAGCCTCCCACCTCAGAGGTCCTTCCCCATCTCTTCTGGCCCCGGCTGGTGCGCTCTGCTCTCAGGTCCCCAGCATTGGGGTGAGCCGCTCCTGCAGCAGGATGACAGGCAGCAGCCCTCATTCTGACAACCTGTTTGTGGAACAGGAGCTCTCCCGGGGGCGTCACGTGTTGGGGATTACAGGGGATTAGCCAATGGCATGCAGGGAGATGGCCCCTCTTTCACCCCTGCCAGAAAAAGAGAGTCCAGATGGAGGATTTGGTAGCCCTCCTGTTAGGATGCAAAAAGTACCAGGAGGAGTCCCAAAAGGGGGGGAGGGGGCGCAAGTGGCCTTGACCCCTGCATAAACTGGTTTAGTGGGTGGGGGCAGCACAGGGAGGGGATCAAGAGAGATCCATGCTGGGGGGGCACCTGGCCTGCTTTGTGGGACCTCAGATTTGGCCTTTCCTATCAATGAACTGGCTCCAAGCTGGGAAAGATGCAAGGCTTTTCCCAGGGCCATGGGGGGGAGTTTGTGGGTGTGAGGGAGGTCTTCATGATTCCCTATTATCACGGCAAAAGAGACTCTACCTGGCCGGATCTCCCTCTAGATACAACACAGTGGGGTCTCACACAGCTGCCAAGGTGAAAGGCTGGGGTTTATGAGGTTTCCTTGGTTTGATTGATTGATTTAATTAACGGTCACTTTTAATGATCTAGGCTTGGTTCTGCAGCGAAATTTTCCAAAGTGCAGCCCAGCAATATGACAGTACTCAGCAGGCATGCACCTCCAGGGCACGCGAAGTGCAGAGATCCGGGTACCCCAGCCTGTGTGAGCCCCACAGCAGTTCAGCTGCTCAGATCCAGACCTGGGCTACCCCTGCCTACATACAGCTCCAGAACCGTCTGAGTGCAGAGATCCAGGTAACCCAGTAGGCAAGCACCTCCATGACAATGTGACCACAGAGATCTAGACCGGGGATATTCCAGTAGGCAAACACCTCCACAGGCAGCTGCAAACAGCAACCCAGAACTGGAGCGCGGACGTGTACAAAGAAATTCCATTGATTTGCTTGGCAGGCAGTTTCCTGTCACAGATCTTCACGCAACCACAAACAGGCAGCCCACCCCAGCGCTCACCCACTAAGGAGAGCAGGTCACTCACACTCCTGCAAACAGCCTTTGTAACAACTATAGACCATCGCTGTTCTCTGCATGCGAGAGAGAGAGAGAGACCTCACCCCAGGACTTCAGCAAACCGCCAGCGACCCCACTCCTTTGATGTGGCAAAAACCAGAAAACTGCGCAGCACCAGAGTCATTCAGCGCCTTTCTGTTGTTTGACGTCGCTAGGGTATTGCCTTTGTTTTTGTGCATTTAACAAACACTACAAATATGGGCCAGGCTTTGGTGGGTGTAACTTACACCGTGTAAATCAACAGAGTAACTTCTGTGCTGGTTTACACACACCGGGGCTCTGGCCCTGTGTGGGGTGCAGGAGCAACCGCTGTTTGGAAGCTCAAAGGAAGTGCAATTCTAGTCTTTGCCAGCAGGAGTCACTGCAGGGACTGGGACAGGCGCACGGGCCAGAGGGCAGTTCGCAGCTAGTGCAAACCCAGCCTCTCCCAGCAGGGGTCACTGAAGGGTAGTGTGTTAGGAGCACAAGCCATGAGGAAGCGTCCGGCTATTTGCAATGCATAGATGAGCCCTGGTATAATGCAAAGTACATGGCAGAATTTCATTCAATGGCCTTTTGTTCCTCGTGGCCGGTGAACAAGGGCTGGAGCGTGCAAAGGGCTGAGGACCTCA